CCTAACGTAGATAGAGGCACGGCTGGACGGTCACAACATCGTTATGCATACAGCCTACCTATTGTAAGTGATCATATTTGTTCAAATTTTAGAAAAGGGTAGGCAAGATTACATGCCTGTTTAAATAAAAATAAGAAACGCTGGCTTTGATATCTCATAATATAACTGCATATATGCAAGATTTTCAGAACTAAAACGCATGTGCGTGGTGTATCTTTCAGAAGATATTAATATTTGTACAACATTGCAAAAAAAGTGGCTACTATTGAATTAAGTAAAAACAAACAAACAAAAAAAGCATTGTATCTCCCAAAATTATCCCTGGAAACAACGACTTCCGCCTATTGGGCGGAATCCAGCAAATTAATTTTCTCCCCGCAAGTCGACCGCTTTCTTCGCACAATTGGCGGAATTCCGTCCAATATGGCATCCCTGGCTCCGAGGCGGCAATGTTAGGACGTAACGCCGTAACGCCACAGGTTTCTGGTGGCTTCAATGTTTTTTCCTGTAATGTTTTACAGACCAATACTTGGGACTTAGAACTTTACACTCTCGTCTATCTTTTAATCAATACATTGGTAATTTCATGTATTATTAACCAAATAGGCCTTCACAGTCCGTTCAACATAACACAACAGAAAATTCCGTCAATCTATAAATTTAGTCCGATACAACTCTACAAGTCCGTTGCCATCCGATATCATCCGATTAACATGCGATGAAAATTGCGTACGTACTATTAAACATGATCAGATTTATCGCTGACAATATAAAGAGCAATAACCCTTGTTGTTACTTATACACTTAACATACCAGCTGCCGTGGTCCCGCTGTACCGGAGCCTGATAAGCGAGCTATAAGAATGTGCAAAGTACATGATTCGTAAATGTTGTGTAAATACGGAACACGCAGTACCGTTTGCTTAGTCTCTTTTTACGTCTTTTAATCTTTCTTTCTTGTTCGTCGCCATCTTTTTCTTGTCCTTGTCCCCCTTCTTCTCCTTTTCCGTCACATTCTACCAGTTCTTCTTTCCTTACTTTTCGTCTTCATCTCTTTCTTCTTCTTTCTTCTCTTTATTCAGCTAAATTTCACCGAAATTATGTACTTTCAGTGAGAAAGATTGCAAAGTTGTCATCGTGCACAAAAACTCTGACACAAAACTATAAATTGTTAGTTACATCGGTAAAGACAGCATTCCACACTCAATCAAAACTAAAAAAATCTTGCCCTATAATTTTGAGAAACGATGAGACTACCTCAAACACCCCGAAATTAAGATTTCAAAAATGGAGCTGTTATCTATTGGTAAAACTAACACTTCCACTTTCTCAACACGAAAACATTTTTGTGTCAACAAAACTAAAAGCTTTGGGACACTTTGATACATCATATCGTAGAACTTTTGATTGAAATCTTTGTAGAATTTCAATATTAGAATGACTAGCTGTTCCCTAAAGTTGCAATCCGTAAGCCCAAATCATTTAAACACTGGACTAAGTTAAGTTATTCACTTTGTATCTGAGAAATGCGGTCACACGACATATCTTCACTCAAGTTAATTTTATTCAGAAATAATTCACTGAATGTTCATGTAAGGAACAAATTGTGTGCAAGCAATAGATTATAAAAAACAACTTTGATACCAAGGGAATGCTGGAGCAGTACTCTTGACAAACGGGCCAAGGACCGCACGCGATCTTTTTTTCGTCTTAGAGCTTGTCCCTGCTGGGGCGGTGCCCCTCTGGTGGGAGGTACCTGGTTAGAAGAAAACCCCGCTAGACGACAGGCAGGTCGGCACCGCATCTCACCATCCAGCGGAGGAAGATTACCACAACCTCCACAGGGGGGAAAACATGCACTACATTTACGGGATTAATGTCCTTATCAGTTGACGCGACCACTAGTGCCACTGTTTTTTAGTCACATTTCGAATTAACAGTCTCCCCTAACATATTCACGCCCAATTTTTCTATCTTAAAATATTTTTCTGGTTTCTGATTTTGAGATTTTATTCCATTTTAAAATTCTAAACTATACGCCAAAATTAACTAACGAGTAATACTTTACTGAACATCCATATATAAAAAAATGTCTTATTGTAAAACTGTGTAATAAATAAGTAAATATATTAATTAATTAATATAATGATGAACTTGGGTGCTTTATGAATTCGGAAGATCGTGATAAAATAAACTCTATAATGATATTCTATCAATTACAACATTTTGGAAATACTCTTTTTAGTAAAATATTAAATTCACTCTAACATAAGATATTCCCATTACGACTGACACTTCAACTAGCACCAAACTAGCATGTAAAAATTAGTAAGAATTTTACATATTATAAGGGCATATATAGACATTTTCCCCTCACCCTATTTTGCACAATGAAATAATTTGGGTTTATTTGCTTCTATTCGAAATCCCATTATACAATACCCTAAAGCTGAAATTATGTTACAATTCGTTACATTTGCCTTTCAACAACGAATTTAACATAACATTCATATAACGAATGTTATGAATAATTTTGTCATTTATTAATCACTTATAAGAGGGGCACGGTAGAACATCATCATAATTTTGGGCGTGTTAGTTTCTTTAATAAAAAACAAGTGCAAATTTGATATGTTACAAATCGCTGTTTGACATTACATAGTGAAGACGACAAAAGATTACTAAAGTGAGATTACTATAGTGTTTGCCATTACATAGTGAAGACTCCCAAGTGAAGACGACAAAAGATTAAAAAGATTACTATATCTCATCAAATACGTTAAAAGGGTTATGATGACACAATGAAATACATTTGGGCAGTTTCCATCCTTTCTAAAAACCGTGGCAAAATCACCAGATCATTGCCGATTCCGTTTTAAACGGCTATCGTATTTTCTACCAAATTCCAACAATTTTCGTGTCAAATATTCATTTGTTTTCATATTACTTTCGTTCGGTGGTAATTTTGTTCTGTATCAATTTTTGTCGTCTTTTTTTGTCAAATTTTTCCGTCCATTTAATTTCATTACGTTTTAGTACTTTGTGAAATTACGGGCAGTAAATATTTTGTTCCTGCCTGTTTCAGTCCAAATTTGTTTTCTTTACAAAGTTAGTCATACCGGGCAACATTATATCAAGAAAGAAAACTAGGGAATAAAAAGTGAAAATATAATTTCATCAGATTTAAGATTTAAACCAGTGTTGCACATTCAGGTCATCGTGGCCGGGAAAATTCCTTGATCCCTCCTCCCCCACTTCCCTTTCCACTGGCCGCGACTAACTGAAATGTCGATTGTCGATTATATGTAGCGATTCGAGGAGCGTTCCGGATCGTTCGCTATGTGATTTTGAGAACAGCTTGAGAACGCTGAACAATTAGCACTGAAAACGAAACCAGCGGGAAAAATATAAAATCTTCGTTGACTAGAAACGTCAATGCACCTTTCGTATACGTTATCTGGTAATTAGTCATACGAAAACAATGTACAAGCGTTATTTGCTTGGAAAAATTACAAAACAGTTTAAAATAATTGCATCATGTTGGAAGGACAGTGGTGGCACCCTCTATGAACCTATGTACCCTGATCTGGGTTTGATGGAGGTATGCGTGTCTTCAGTTCCAAACCGAGTTGTGGCGACTGCCTTAAGTGGAGGCGACAGGGTCACTATTTTCGACAGTTATTATTAAAATTATAAAATTCATAAATCTATTACAGGTTTTGTTTTTAAATTAATAATTTCTTTTTTTTTTATCTTCAGTGTTCTGTGGGATGCTGTGTAATTTTAAAAGGCATGAAAATGTCCTCAAATATTCTTTAAATGGTCCATTATGTTTACATTCATAGTAATGTATCACAATAAGCTCTGTGCAATCTTGATTCATTATAAATGCATTTTTTTTTTCCAAAAAAGGTCTGCAATATAGAAGCTCCCCTGTGTTGTCTGTGCATGTTCCGTTTCTTCTTACATCATTTTATTAATTAAATACTACATGAACAGGCAAGACAATCCTAATAATGTTCATGATAAAACAAAGATACACATGAAAAAGAAATATAAAATTACAATTTGGTAAATAGAATAGAAAAATGCAAAAGAAGAACAAAAAAGAAAAAAAAGGGTAGATGATTATTAAGATAGAACAGTATAAAATTGGTCCAAATGTTGTTCAAATGTGTGAATGCTGGGAGCATTGACAACAGTGGAAGGTAGGCCACTGATTGTTACATAAAAATCCTTTTAGGGCTATTTCTTTCTCTATCATATAAAGTAACCTTTTGATTTGATTTAATTACAGTGTATGAATGAATAACATTAACTTCTAGTATTTGTCCATGGAATTGTGTGGGTCATTTTCTACGCTGTACCTTGATCACTATTTTATAATTTTGTCTGCCTGCCAAATTTACCATTTCCTCGCCAGTTTGCATCTCATTTACTGTAGGCTAACAAAACTTGAAAGCCTTTGTATGAAAAAAATGGTTATTTAATACTAAAAATCTGACATTTCATCTATGTCAAACTTACCACTCTTACTTGCACTGGTTCTAAAGTATTATTTAAATTTCAAAAACTTTCACAAAAGGAGTTTTATAATTTATTTTATATGATAAAATCATGAAATGTACATGAAAAAATCTTCTTGCTCTTAAGAGAATGTAACATGGGCATCTTAAAAAGAAGCAAATGCAAGACATATTAGTGTACAAAGACTCTCATTCTATTTTCATCAAGTTTCTTGCTTCATACTGACTTTAAGAAAGTGATAGTAAAATACTTTATTTTCAAATATTTTGTTATCTTTATGGTTTTGTTGAACTTGTTTCTGTGGGTGGCCTCTTATAACTGTATTTACGAAATGCTGCTTTATCTATGGGGCGTACACCTGCTGTATCTCTTCCCTTTTATATCTAAAAAGAGCGGGTTTCAGGGAGAACAATAGTCTACAAGATCATAAGTACCTACTTTAGATGTAATTTTTTGATGTACTGTACAATATTCTAAATTTTTAGGCCACAATCTCAACTTTAGTTGTAGGTCTACTACTGTAGTAGGTAACTGTTTATAATATTAAACCTTATTGCTACTATTACTTCTCACTTTCATTTAAGAGAACATTTTTAACATTTTCCTAAAAAACTGTTTTGGGCAATAATTTTTTAATAAGTTTTTTGAGGGGTCTCTTTCTGATTTTTGCTTTATTTATTATTAGAGGGGGTTAATAGGGTTGCAAAGAGGATTAACAAAGTATGGTAAGAAAACAATCCCAATAGAATGGCAAGAGGGTTTAGTTATTAACATTCACAAGACAGGCTCAAAGAAGATATGTGACAATTACAGGGGCATTATATTGCTATTAACAGCTTCCAAGCTGTATGCAAACATGTTAAGGAAAAGACCCAGTGAAATATGTGAGAATTTCACTAAAGATACCATTTTTACATTACAAATGTTAATAGACAAAAGAAGTGAAAGGAATCTACCAACTTTTATAATATTTATTGATTATGAAATGGCTTATGACAATATTCTGTAACAGTAACTCTGGGAAATACTAGAAGAGGAGAAAGTTCAAAATCAGTAACAAAAGTTACAAAGTATCTACAAGAACTCAAGGATTAAAATACTGTTAAGAGAGGGAAAAAGTCGGTAGCAATAACAATTAACAGTGGCTTAAGGCAAGGATGTCGATTATCACCCACCCTCTTCAACACTTATATTAACCACTCAGTGAGAAACTGAAGAAAGAAAGTTAGACAAGGAATACAGATCACAAAAAAAAAGAAAAGAAGATAGATACAATCTTGTATGCTGATGACTAAACTATCATAATGAATTCTGAAGGTAATTTACAAAGTGCAGTCTTTGAATTGTCAAAAATGGCCTAAGAATAATCCACGAAGATAGCAATTCAGAAAACCGAAGTTATGGCAATTCAAAGCAAGGAACAACGGAGAGCCAAAATAGTAATAAATGGAAAATTAGTGGAACAAGTAAATAAATTTTCATACCTTGGAAATAAAATAAGTGTATACAAGCAAACACAGGAAGACATAGAAAACAAACTTAATAACTACAATAAAATATGCGGAACAATCAAGAGACCCTTTGGCAGAGTTATGAGCCTGGAAACAAAACTGAAACTCCACAATATCGCTGCTAAACCTAGAATCATGTATGACTCTGAAACATGGGTAATGAAAGAGAAAAACAAAAGCTACAGGCGGCACACATGAGATTTCTAAGACACCTCATAGGAATCACAAGAAGAGACAGACTAAAAAATAAAGACACCAGAATGAAACTGAAAACCAAATGTTTAGTAGAAGAGATAGAACAGTCTCAAAGGGAATGGAAAGATCATTTACGGAGAATGAACAATAGATTTCCAAAATTAATCTGGAAGTGATCTTCTCCCCTGTACGTCACCTACAGTTTTTACTGTTTTTTGATTAAATAAATCTAAATCTAAATACAAACCAATAGGGATAAGAGGTGGCAATAGCAGCAACACTTGGAAGATAAAGAATCTACCAGAATATCCTAATAAACCAATAGACACGACTACAGAGCCTAATTTCTGGTCAGTTCATAATAATTATGATGGTGATGAATAAGGTTGCTTTAGAGGTCATAGTTTGTTATGTCTCTGGCATGTTAAATAATAAATGGTAGTTGGGGGAGGGTAATCAAAGCAAGTAATTTAAATGCTCATACCTTTGTGGAATTTTAATTTAAGACATAATTTTTTTAATTGGTTATTTTTTTTTAATTTCATTTTTTAATCATTAACATAAACAATGTATTAACTAGTCTATTTAAACCTTGAGATGCTTTGAGGCTTATGTGTGATGGCACTATTAATAAAAAAAAGATTTTTTCCCTTTGAAATCTGAAAATGTTAAGAAATTATCATTTAGCTTAAGAAACCATGAATACATGAGTTATTATCTACCACACACATAAAGATTTAAGGCATTGGAGTTAGATAATGAGTCTCCTCAAATGACTTTTACATGGCATGCAATTGGAAATTTAAAGATTTACGTAAATAAAGTGATCAATTTAACACCGGGAGGGAGGAAAAAAAGGAATCAATAAAAGGGAGGTAAATATCTCAATTTTGCTTGTTGAATGACAATACACAAGATATGTGTGACATAATTTTTTGTTTTGAGTAGTTTTTTAGAGTATATTATTGAATTTTTAAATAGATACAACATAATTTGACCTTTTTCTTTTACATGCACTGTTATTATTTTAATATATAATTTAAAAATTGTGGCTTAAACTAATACTTTCAGTGTTTAAATCCCTTCCTTTATCCCCCCTGCTCCCCCCTCCAATGTTACATCAGAGATTGATAACATGGCATTGAGAGGTTGATGATGAAACCAAATTAGCCTGAGAGAATAAAATAATTCAAGCAAAAACTATTAACTAATATAACCAAAGATTTCAACAGAAAACCAAACTTCAAAGAAAGAATTAGAAGTGAAATTTTAATTGTCAAGGAGGTTCAAACCATTGTTGTAAAATCTATTGTAACTTAAGTCACTGTTTCATGTCAAACAAAATATTATGGTACAGTAGTGAGAATGAAGAAGAGTGAGAAATGGAAAATAAACTAAAACCAAAATATTTGGAAACTATATACTTTTCATAAGTTGTGTGTAGTTGTGGCATTTGCATAGATTATATTTAAAATTTTTCTTTCCAATTTTATCAAGTCAAGTATCGAGATGAGCAGTCAATTCACTAATGTACATTTTGCCTGCTGATTTGCTGACCTCATCAGTGCTTGTGGATATAAAATAAAATTAAAAAAAAAAAAAAATAATAATAAAATAAAAAAAATAAAAATAAAAAAAATCTACCACCTAACTAACCTAAAGTCATTAAAATATAATTTTTCATAATCACAAAAAGTTAGAAAATTACCTAGCAAAAAATTGCAACTGAAGTGCAGCTGGATACGATATAATTTGTGTTATACAGGTTTGACAGAAAAAATAGTTTATTCCTTAGGTTTTTCTTTTATTAACAATTAGATTACTCTTACTTTTTGTGCGTGTTTGAAAAGTGGTTTAATTTAGTTCAGTCACTTGTACATGTGACATTACTCAAATACAAAAATAAAGAGAGAACTCCCAATAATTTCCTTCCAACAATAAGGGAAACAAATTTAAAAAAAAAATCAATCATTTTTTTTCATCCAATAAATTAGAACGAACATGAAGACTTCCAAGAGAAGCTCTCTGTTCTGTTCTCTGTAAAATATGTCCCTGTATACTACATTTTGTCAATTATTGCCAAGAATATTGTGAATTATCCCTTATTCATTATACCTTCTTCAATGACATAATTTTAGGTGTTCGTTATATGAATAGACTTTCTTTTCGTTTTGGTGCTACCTCTTTGAATGTTTTGACCTTTTCAACTGCACTAATACATTTCTAGTACTTAGACTGTACAATTAAAAATTTCCACTCTTTTAATGTCATTCAACACATAATTCTTCCATCCAACTTTCAGGTTGAGAAGAATGGGCACCAATTAAAATTTTTCTTTATTGCTCTTCTATCATGCATTGACTACGAAGCTCCACCCACCCCAGTGTTAGAGTTTTCATATAGTTTACAATTATTGTTTTAATCTTAATTAAATTGTAAATTAAAGAGTTATACTGTATTGGTGCTCTTTACTAGATCACAGATTTTTCTCATTATTTTCTTTTCAAAAATTATCAATCTTTGCATAGCATACTCTTTCATAGTTCATGTCTCAGCTGCATATAAATGGTCAATTACTGCTTAGTATTATCTCAGTTTTGCTCCTTTACACATAATTATTTTTGTTCACAATATGCTTTATTTCTTGCTGCATATATTT